TACATGTTCAGACTCAGACGCTACGTAACTACTGAATCCAACTAAACTGCAGGGCTAAGGGTGGGGCATTTTCTAAAGCCTCCAAGCAGGGGAAGAAGCTGTCTGAGCACTGACAGATATCTTGATTTGGAGGCAGGTTTCGGAAGGCCCTGCACCCCCTCTGCTAGGTGTGGCTGCTTAGGCAACCGGGCTGACACACCTTCCAACTGGGCTCCTGCCAGCTAAGTCCCATATGCGCCTGTAGGCTTCAATCTCTTCGTGGGGCAAACCCAACCCACAGACACAGGGAGATGGATCTACTTCCCTTGACGACGCCACACACACCTCTTGCCTTCTCCCTGCCGGGGCTTGCCACCTGAGACTGCCAGTGGGGAAAGGGGGTGGGGGGATCTTTCTGAAAATCGGCAAAGACAGGAATGAAAGAGCCAGAAGGAAATTCCTGTAAGGAAAATGGAGCTGACTCCAGCATCGGTCAGAGGGCTGACCTAGGTACAAGTTCTAGTTTTACAATTTTCTAGCTGGTGAGACCTGTTCAAGTCTCTTCCGGAGGATGGAGGAGATAATACCAGCCCTTGCTTCCGAGGAGAGCTGTTTCAAAGAGAAAATGGGCCAAACAACGTGAATAATTTGAAAACCGGAAACTGTCCCATACGTGTTGGTTGTTATTGTCACAGGCACTGCAGAGCAGACGGGCTTCAGTCCCTGCTCTGCCCTAAACCGGCCGCATCATCTCCGGGCCACCACACTGCTCTCCTAACTCGTCTCCCTGTCTTCATCTTCTCCCCCTCCCCCAATATACTCTACACCCGGCAGCCAGAATAACTTTCTTAAAATCGAAATCAGATGGTGGGACAACCCCTCCAAGGCCCTCCCCTGGCCTCTACCATGGCCTGCAAGACCCTGTGTGATCTGCCCATCCCCCCAACCTCACCTCCTCCTGTCCTAACCCACTCTCACTGTGCTCCAGCCACTGTGGTCTCCTTCCTGTCCTCTAACTCTCCAAACCTCCTTCTTGCGTGCAATTGTTGCACTTCGTGTTCCCTCTGCCTGGAAACCTCTTTTCCTAGGTAAAGATACATTTTTTTTTTAACTTTAATGCACAGTAATACTTTTTATGTTATGACTCAATAAACACGCATGTACAATTGTTAAATGCAATGCACGTTCATACTTTCCATTCTATTCTAGCCTACTCTACTCTATTTCATGACCCAATAATTGCAATTTGATGGCACACCCACAACTTTATGCCTGCCCCAGGTTTTCAGTTAGCTCACTGCTTCTCATCCTTCTGGGCTCAGTTCAAATGTTGGGTAACTGTTTAGGAGAAGGCTCCACTGACCGCATTATTTTAAATAGGTTACCAAAGAATCTCTATCTCATCTCCCAATTTATTTCCTTATCACTATGTGAAATTCTTATTTATTCCTTTCTTTTCTTGTGTATTGCCTACAGAATATAAAGTCCACGAGAACAAAGACCTTGTCTAATCTTTCTACTTTTCTATCCCAGTGCCCAGAATGGTACCTGGCCCATAGTAAGTGTTCCACAGATGCTTGTAAAATGAATAAATTGATCTCTCTGTGGCCATCAGTCCACACCAAAGGCATGTCCCTGCAGTGACCCAGCACTAAGAAGAAATGCATAACTCCATGTAACTCCAAAGAAAAAAGAAGAAAAAATCCCAGGTGAAATGGTATGTTTCTCTTGCCAATGCCTGCTTATTCTGGGTATAGAATTTATCACATCCTTAGACCCCCTGCAATGAAATTATAAGCCAGGATTCCATGGCCCCTGGAAGACCACTCAAAAGAGTTTCCATGCCTATCGCATGAGAAGCTGTAAATCTACTAGCTTGTCCAGACCCGCCAACTACTCTGTGCTTCTTGGAGAAGAGACATTATCCTCGACTGCAAATTCTATAAAAGTGGAGCCTTCATTCCACTCCCCACAAAACACCTAGTGTCTGGATAGACTTTCACAAAAGCATCCAATGAATATTTGCTGAATGAATTGTTTGTGTGCAAGCCTTTTTTACCATTGAAAAAGTCACTGATTTTTAAAATCATCCACTAGATGGCAGTGTCGTCCCACATTACAGCCCTGTGATCACCTCCAGAAATCTAAGGACGAGCTTGAATTTAAAAGCATTCGATTCAGAGCCTTGCAATCAGGGAACAATTCTGGATAATCAAAGGTAGTAAGCTTCACCAAAGATATACTAGATGTTTAATAATGTTTCTAAAAGTTGATTTCTTAAGAAAATCACCACTAAATAGCTGAAATACCTTGAGCAAATCACTTGACCTCTGCAAGGAGCTCGGCTCTTTCAAATGTCATTCAAGGAGGTTGGACTGGATAATCCAAGGTCGCTCCCTCTCCCCAATCTATTTGCATGACACAGGTGCTGAGTAACAATGGCTGGCTGGCAACAGGGTCCCACCACCCCTGCTTCGGCAGAGAAGTAGAAGAGCCAGCTGGGCTAAGCAAAAGGGGTCCAGGGGCAGGTGCCTGGCAGGCTACTTAACGTCTCTGAGCCTCAGTTTCCTCATGCGTAAAATAGAGGTAATAATTACATCTCACAGGGAGATTGTGAGGATTCAAGAAGATTCCATGTAACGTGCTTAACACCAGTACCTGGGGCATAAATATGCATTCAACAAACATCTGCTGCTATTATTATTGCTATTGTTGGTAGCAGCAGTAGTAGGACTATCATTGTCATTGCTGCTGTTACGTTTTTATTCCATTTAATTCAGTTCAGGTACAACTAAAAAGCAATGCTTGAGAATTGACCTGAACAGACCAGGACCTGCAAGAAAGACCTGCGGCCCAATCCTCATCTGCACAGTACTTAAAAAGTATGACTGCCTAAGGGACGAGAACACAAAGGACTGTAACAAAAGAGCATAATGAAAAACACCCACTGAGATACACAACTGGCAAGGTCTGGAAGAGTGACATCCAATTTGGAAACAGGGAATGGAGAACAAGCCAGTCATAGTGATAATACTTTATGTTTGTACAGTAGTTATAGTTTGCCTTCTCGTTCATGACGTAAGCTGGACACATATTTTATGAGTATTTTAGAAATAAAGGAAACAAAGCTCAGAGAGTCTGAGTAACTTGCCCCAGACCACACAGTAAATACATGGCAAAGCAAATCCTGAAGCAAGGGACCCTTTTTGCCAGCCCCATGTTCTGGTCTCTATACCGTAACACCTCACAGGGAGATGGCATTAGGATGGCCCTAAAAGAAAACACTGGACTCATCCCAGACCAAGTCAGCAACATCTGGGCACGGATAAAATGGACCTGGAGGAGAAGCGCCCTCACTCTGGGGAATGCCACGCCTACAGGATAACTGTGCCGTGGGCCTCCCAGTATCAGCAGGCACTGGAACAACCACACACCTGCTCAACTCTGAACACCTGCACTCATGGTGCACGGTCATCTAATCCATAATGGCCACAGCTACAAGGCTGACTTTTCTTTCCAAGGGACTACCTTTAAAAAGACCCCATGCATATCCAGAAAAACCAGCGGCAAGCCTAAGAATTTATTTTCTTGAAACAAAGTTACCAAAGTGCAAAACATATGCGTGACAATAAAGCACTGCTTTAAAAAAAAAAAAGAGAGAGAGAGAGAGACTAATATCAAGTACTGACTAAAATAATGAAAAAATTAATATTAAGGAAGGATGACCAAAGTGTTTCAGATGCTAACGTTTGAAATCAATGACGTGAAACAGAAAGTCAAAAGGTAAAGTGCAGAATTAAGGCCAAGGGTGAGAGGAACAGGAAGAGATGTCAGTTTGCAATGAAGAAGCACAGTCTAGCAATGAGGGCTGCCCAGCAAGGAGGCGGTGGTCTCGGCAGCAGGATGCTCCACCACTGACAGGCTGGAGAGCCACAGCGGTAGGGCAGGAGGGGAGCACACAAAGGCAACCCAGCATCAGGCATCGGGTGAGGGGTCAGAGACCAAGCTCCTGGCTTCCAAGGTCTCTTCTAACCCTAAGATTTTCTGGCCAAGAGCAACGAGCACATATCCAGAGCACCAGGTAAAAATCAAACATTTTACTCAGGATACTAGCGTAGTTTCTTACCTCCTGCAGCTGAGATTCTTTCTTTTTGGAAGATAAATTCAAGTGTTTTTCTAAGATGCCACAATACTTCTCTGTCTCTTTGTCATACTTCTTTTTGGCTTCCTGGCAAAGAAGAGAAGAGGAGAAAATGAGTAAAATTTTGCAGGAATAAAAGCAGCCTCAGCCTCTCAAGATCTTTCTGCCCATTGTCACAGCTTCATCCTACCCTCAGAGCACACAGCACAGCGGATGACCTACTTTTCAGATATTGCCCACTAAATCATGCAACCACTTTCAACAGCCTCGTGGTTTGAGCATCTATCATAGAGGCACCAGCACGATGCCAGAAACCAGTAAATGCCGGTATTTAATAGTGGCAAAGCCAGGACTACCCCTCTAAGACCTTCAATTGTGAAACAAGAATTTCTAGCTTCTAACCCACAAGGTTATTCAAAGCCAGAAGGGGGAGGTTCCCTAAGAAGCTAATACTGCGGAAAGAAGAGCTACTTTATAGCTTGAATGAGACAAGTCTAGACTAAGGCTAGACCCAGCCTTAATAGTGTACAAAAAGCACTTATTTATAGGCCTAATGTCCCTGGACAAAATAATATCACATATGGGTCTTTAAGCTAAAGAATAATTCAAAACAAAGATGTTATTTTCACAAATGTATTCACTACAGCACCATTTATACTAGCAAAATAAAAATAGAAACAGTAGCAAGGATAGGGTTTGGGATAATTAAAGTATGGAACGTCCAATAAATGTAACTAGTCGTATGGAAAACTGCTCACATTATAGTATTAAATAGCATTTTAGAGACTTGGTGCATCTGACATAGTGTGTCTACCTATGGACAAAGATCAGATGGGAATAGATAGTACTTAAATGAAAATATTTGAGTTAGGCCGGGCGCGGTGGCTCACGCCTGTAATCCTAGCACTCTGAGAGGCCGAGGTGGGCGGATCGTTTGAGCTCAGGAGTTCGAGACCAGCCTGAGCAAGAGCAAGACCCAGTTTCTACTAAAAAAATACAAAGAAATTATCTGGACAACTAAAAATATATATATATATATATAAAAAAATTAGTTGGGCATGGTGGTGCATGCCTGTAGTCCCAGCTACTCGGGAGGCTGAGGCAGGAGGATCGCTTGAGCCCAGGAGTTTGAGGTTGCTGTGAGCTAGGCTAACGCCAAGGCACTCACTCTAGCCAGGGCAACAGAGTGAGACTCTGTCTCCGAAAAAAAAAAAAAGAAAATACTTGAGTTAAAGAAGTGAGACAATGGGTAATTTTTTTCCTCTTGGGGAAATTTTTATTAGCTTATATTATTGCCTTCAAAGTGAAAAATAATTAGAATACTACACATATTAATCCTTGCTCTCCCACCAAGTCACTGAGTCACTGAGGTTCTATTTTCACACCCCCGTCCCCACATTTGACAGATAAGAAAACTCGGACCAGGGAGGTTAACTTGTAAAAAGTCACAGGGAGCGACAGAGCTGGGGTTTAAGCCCAAGACGATCTGTCTCCCCAGCCCGTGTTCTCTGTCACACTTGAGAGAGATCGTCGCGGGCAGTCATTGTCCTTCCACGCTCCCGTGGGAGGGCAGGCAAGGGGCCGGAAGGAGGCTGGCACTGGGCTGACAGACAGGATCAAATTTACTAACTGGGAGCATCATTCCTGCTTTTGACTCATGTGGAGTCAAGTCCAAAGGGATATTTTTCTGCAACTCCGAGGCCTAGAAAAGGAAAAAAATGTTCTGGCCGGATAAGGAAGTTCAGACACACCTCTTTCTTCAATTAACAAATTTGCGATGAGCAACCACTGTGTTAGGCTCCACTTTAGGCATAGGAAATACAAGACAGAAGTGGTACCTACCCTCATGGCAGGAATGTTCCGGTAGAAAGAAAAACACGATTAACCAGTAAACAAAATATCAGTATAATTATAGATTGCTGCAAGTGCTACAGAGGAAATAAACAAGGTGTGGTCCCAGAGATTCTCCAGATAGGATGCTCAGGAAAGGCCTCACTGGTAAAGGAGAGGTGAGTTAGCAGGAGACCAGTCAAGTGCAAATGCCCTGGGGCAGGACACTCAGAGCCAAGAAGCCATCACCAGGAGCCCTGACAAGCTCCCACAACGACACAGCACCATTTATCTGGTATCTACCTCACAGAATGGGCATAATAATCATACCCATTTTAGCTGACATGCATCCATTTCTACAAATCTGAGTTTTGCTTAAAAGACTGCTCACATATAAGAACAACTAAACGTACAGAAGCAAACGAAAAAAAAAAGCCTAAAGAGACAATCACTCCCTCCAATTTGAGGAGGGTACAAGCAGGAGACTTGACTCGAGCGGCTCTTTTCCTTTAGAGAAACCAGTGACTTCGAACTGGGGCTCCAAATCCTATTACCACTCACGTTTACCTCTTCCCACCAGCCTTACCAGCAACTCCACAAAGGGGAGCCTGGGTGCAGGGACGGTCCAGCTGGCCGGAGGTGAGAAAAGGCCAGGGAACATGAGTCACTGACACTCCGACTTTCTGGAAACTTTCGCCTCCACATTCCACGTTCTAGAGGACGGCCAAAGTTAGAGAAACGAGCAAAGGGAAAGGGAAGCAGTTTCTGTCCTGAGAAAACAGCAACAAGACCTCTGCGGGAAAAATTCCACTGCAATTTATTATAGATAATGTTCTTAAGATGGGAGGCTGGTATTACCCAGAGTTACGCAGGACACAGGATGGTCTTCGCCTTCCAGACAGTCCACTGTGGAATGGTTAAGTACAGTGGAGGGGTAAAGGACAGATTAGGATCCCGGAATTTATCCTCAACTCTGTATGGACGGACTCTAAACAGATCACTGTTCCCCTCCGGGACTCCGTTTCCTCATCTATAAATTGAGGCTGACTAGATGAGGGTTTCCTCTTTCAGCTCGACGATTAGATAACAAAATTAAGGACAGGAACACCCCTTCCTCATAAGGTTGTCACAATTAGATAAACAACATGCAGTGATTAGCAGAGTGCCTATCCCACGGAAAGCGCTCAACAAACGTCTGTGATGGTGATGATGAGCTCATCGCCGAACCCACCTCCTGGTCAAGGACACCGCTTGCTTTTTCACGTCCCACGCGCCACGAAGGCAACCCTTCCAAGCACCTACCACAATTTCAAATTATGCATTTATTTGTATCTTTTTGTCTAACATCTTTCTCCCCAGCCACACCATGTGCACGGCAACCGCACTTGGCTTCTTCTCCACCGAATTCCAGTGCAGGTGGAGGGCTCGCAGAGCAGCCTCTCGCCTCTTTTTTCAACGAATTAACCGTGTGTATCTAATGTAATAGCTAACGTCAAGTGACTACGCGACATTGCTCACATGTTCAAATAGCTCTATGACAGACACTGTTGCAAGCACCTTCTGTGAGTTCACTCGTCTCTTTCCCATAATAACTCCAGGAAGGAAGTTCTACGGTAATCCATATTTTACGGAGCAGGAGGCGAGCATGGACAGGTTCGGTAACCGCCCCACGTTTACATACAAGTGGCACAAGTGAGATTTGGACTCCAGCAGTCTAGCTCTTGACCCACTCCTTTTTATTTTTTTTTTCAGACTATTACAGGGATACAAATGTTCAGACCCACCCTTAACCACTACTACTCTCTTACGTCAGTCCTGCTTTCACTCTAGAGCCCAGTACTCCAGGTGTACCTCTGATGCAGGAAAATCCAGCTTCCCCAAACTCAGAAATCAAAACTTGAGGTCATGGGTACGGCAAGCTTCAGGGTTGAGCCCTGTTCCTTAGCACGAGAATGTCCAAAAGTCCTCCTCCCTGGCAGCCTTCGCACTGAGCACTCTGCAACAGGTTGTTATAGCAACCGAAGCAGCACCAGAGAGTAGAGGAGGAGGAAAACGTAATTTTAGCATCACACGGGCAGAGTTCCGAACCCCCACTCGGCCACTACCAAAACCAGCGAACGAACACTCGCTGGCTCTTAGGTATTCTTGAGACCACTCGCCTAGTGGTGGGTTTGTTGTTTTCTCACAAATGTACCCAATGCTATGACATAAATGCACGGGTGTGTGGGATGGTGGCAAAAGACGACAAAGGGGAAGGAATGAGCCATCGCCCCAAATGTCATCGCAATCATTTTTAATGATTAATGATTATCAAAAAGTTATATAATCATTGATGAATATCAATGATTTAATGAATGAAAGAAGATACTATGCATAAGGGAAACATGCTTTAGTGAGTGACTATTTTATTTAAGTTCTTTTACGTCTTACCATCTATCCCCCCACCCCCCGGGAAAAGCACCTGCTCCTGTCATGAAGGATCACTAGTATCATATCCAAAGGGAGGCCGCTGAGACTTTTTCTTCTCCTCGTGGTAACGTGGTCACCTCCAAACCATCGTAAGGGAAGAGGCCAGAGTGAGTGGCATCTGGGCTCAGAAGGAGAAGAAATTGCTGAAAAGACGTCTCGAGGAACAGGTCTGCTCTGCCTCTGCCTCAACACTCTTCATAACCTCCGGAAGCCACCGCCTAGCATGTTCAGGGGCAGGAAAGCCCAGGCCCCGAGGCCACACAGGGAAGGCCAGCGGGTGGGCCCACACTGGGGACAGCAGAAGGAGTGTTCTCTGCCATCACAGGGCTGGTTTAAAATCTGAGACAAAATCTTGCTTGAGCAAGACTTCCTTCAAATCGTACATTCCTTCATCTCTGATACAAAACCTGTGAGCTCCCATTTCTTCACAAATGTCTAAACTGAATTAGCGGAAAAGTGCTGTAAAACTGGGAGAAAAATCTTCGCCATGGTCCCTCCTTCAAACCATGGCTAAGCATCCCTCTGAAAGACCCTGACTACACACCGTCTTTTCCAGGCCCCGATGGCCTCCATTTCCGGGCGGCAGATGCACTGTGCCTGGTGCTGGGGGGAGGGAGGGGCAGGGATCACCTCACTTTGCCGCTGAGTAAACTCCGCGCCCAGTAAGAGGTGGTGTTGCCCCAGACCCCCGGCAGGTGGCGCAAGGGACTGTGGCTGAATTGACTCAGGGTTCCAAAAAACAGGAAGAAAATGTGGAAAATCCTTTCACTTTCCTCCATTCCAATGAAAACATCTTCCCTGCAGGTGGCCTCTAACACTCTACTGAAGGTCAACCCAGCTACGGTTTCCTAGTGATTTATCACAGGGCAAGGGGACCCTGGAGAATCCACCTTTTAAAAGTGAACAGGAGTCCCTTTGCGGTCTGTCAATAACACGAGCATTAGCCACGTCTTGGCTCTAATCCCCCCAGGTCAGTGACAGCAAGCAGTGACCTCTGGGTTGGAGCAGGCCTGCAGAATGTGGTTCTCTGCCTTGCACAACGTGTAATACACTGTATTAATATATTTTTTAATGATTTGCCAACAGGAAATTTCACATAAAACCAGCTTTTCGGTTTCTCTTGAAAAATTTAAAGATCTGGCCAGAGAAGGCCCATTTCCACACACAGTAAAAACCAGCTAAAGCGAAGTACCAGCTGCTTCCCTTTAAAGAGGGTCTTCACAACCACACAGCCTGACTTGCAACCCCTGCTTAGGCTGTGAGTCCCAGCCCGCCACAATTAATATAACTCCACAAAAACCAAAACCAAATGTATCGTCCAATGTAGTCAATTGGCCAAGCACACAGCTCTCTAACAACACAGAGGAGGAGGAGTTTCTACCTTTGGATGATTAATGAACTAGCACAAAGCAATTAGATAGCAAAATACCAGAATGGCTGCACTGGGGCTGACCACTCAGACGGGTGCACTCCAGTCACCTACAAAGAACTGATGGGTTCCGATGGGTTAGGCTCCGGCTTCTCTGCCGAGGAAGATTTTTTGAAGAAGGTGGGCTTGGATTTTCTGAAGACGTTCTCAGATTTTCTAAAGAAAGTGCCACACCTTCCAGACCTCTCACCCTAAAATCCAAGAACAAGGCTTGCAAAATTCTCACCTTGGCAGCCCCGATCTGCTCCTTTCGAAACTTCTCCAAGGGGGTGATGAGCACCTCACTGGCATTCTCAATCTGGTGAAGAAAATCAGAGGAGGGGGAAAAAACACAAAAGCAGTATCAGTAGAGAATTACAGCAGCTCCACCATGAGATGCCTCCTCCTGTCTTAGCATAAAATTGGAGTAAGCAATATTACACGTGAACTAATAACGTGTCAAATCAAAATCTAGTCACCAGTTCAAAACATGACATTCCTCCCGAGCATGATTCCTATCGAGTCTTTAAAAGTGAGGACCGCTAAACCTGTAAGCATCCATCCGAAGGCAGAGGGGAAGTAGCGACAGAGCAGGGTCTACGTTTCGAGCTGCAGGTGACATCTTTTTGTAAATGTTCATTCACACACGTTATAGGTAAAGTAGATCAATACTGAGTCTAGGTTAAAAACAAAAACACAACACTTCTGGACATCTGGTGGCATCAAAACTTTTCAAGCCCAATTTGGTGTTGCCCTTGCCAGGACTGAACTAGATTGGGGCCAAGACATCTGTGCCTCCTGACCACAGCTGTCTCTCGACTTCATCTCACAGGGCTCACGCCCGGGTCCTGCACTCCAGCCCACCGTCACCCCAACACACCCCCAATGCGCCACACTCACCCCACCTCGGGGCCTTTGCCTTTGACTAGTCCCTCCAACACTCTATTCCCAACCCCTTACAGGGACAACTCCTTACTGTAATTAAGCTTTCCGCTTAAAGGTCACCTCTTTGGGGAGGCTTTCCCTGACCACCAGTGCAATCCCCAAAGATGCCACAGAGTGTTTACTTCAGAGCAAGTGTGCCAGCTGAACTGCCGTAATTCACCGCCACCCACATTTACATAAACACACACACACGTACACATACATACACGTCTTGTAAATGCTCACTTTTCTACCACTATCCTCAAAACACAGAAGAATGCTGAAACAAAGGAGCACTCAAACATTTCTGAATGACTAAGTGAATGAATGGATTATTTCCTGATTGGCTGCCAACTGTGTGACCATGGGCAAAACATTTAACCTCTCTGGGCTCTAATTTCGTCATCTGCAAAATGAGTGGGCTGAATTGTTCCAGCCCTAAGATTTTACAGTCTTTTCTACGGCAGCACGATATTTTACAATCTTTTCCTTTTAAGTCATTCATTTATCCACTCTTTGCTCAACTAATTATTTCAGGAATCCCATTCCAACAAAGCATTATTTTTCTAAATCACATGCAGCATGTCCATCGCAGCGAAGCCAACAGAGTAAATGCCAAAAGCCATAGATAGACACAGTAAGAACCGACTGGACAATGTAAGGGACAGAAAAAGTCAAATCTCCAAATTTATTCCCATTTTCCTTTTTCTCAATTTTGAGATCACTTATTTCAGAAGAGTGCATTTTGATACTGGAGTGCCATGATGTTATCTAACTTGCTTGATTTTTACTGTTATTTGATTTTGCTTAATCGGTTCACGTCTTTTCCACAAATCACCTGCAAGTCTCTGAAGCTCACAAAGGTGTGCTGAGTCCGAGCCCCTGAATCAGTGGTTCTCAACCTTAGCTGCATGTTGGAATCACCTGGAAAGCTTTTAAAAATACCAATGCACGTCCAGGCCACACTCCAAACCAATTAACTCAGAATCTCTGAACTTGGTCTCGGACATCAGTGTTTTCTAAACTCCCCAAGTTGTTCCAGTTGGCTTTCATGACCGAGAATCCAGTCCTAAGCAGGTGCTTAAAATGCAAAAGCACTCGAGCGCTCAGCTGGAAATCAGGACACCCAAGTCCTTGTCCCAGTCCTACTACTTGCCATCAGCCTTGGTAAGACTTGTTTTCTCATCTGTCAAATGAGGAATCGCCGATGGTGAGGAATAAGGTTCTGCTGGGTCTAAGATTCTACGACTATGTCACTTCCACTCAGTTCCAATACTGTGCTTGATGCTGAGGACACAAAAGCTCTGCCCCCGAGGAAGTCCTATTTCCTACAGAGCACAGACAGGTACAGAGGTCATCAGGACACAATGCGGTCAACGCAGACTCAGAGGCCTGAACTGGACGTTAAGAACATGCAGAGGATGGCCAAACCACCCAGGGAGTCAGGGGAGGCTGCCCAAAGAAGGTGCGGCTTTGCTGAGCTGAACTGATGATGAAGCTGACGCAGGGCAAGGAGCTGGAGAAGGGGCTTGTGGTGGCCAGACGCTCAGATGCAGACAGCAGAAACTCAATTCACTGGCATTAATAATAAAATTGCAGAGGCAAGCTGAAAAGTATAATCCGGTCATTGTTCCCTTACCACAGGCCATAGCAATCTGCAGGGTATTCACAGTGATTTGCTCACCACGCCCCCCACCCCCAAATACTAATTCAGCCAAGAAATCAGACTCAAAAGAATCATTTCCCTTTCTCAGGCACCAGCACGTGCACAAACACACATGCGTTCTCCTGCTTCCACCCACCACCAACCCTGCTGCTGCCGCCATCACCACCGCCCTCTTGATTCTGGTTCAAGTACCCAGCGGTGAGCAGCCAGGAGAAACAGGGTCTCTCTCTGCAGAGCAGAAGGTGAGAGACTACTGCTCTGGAGTTTTAAAGAAATTACCACATTTTGGGGACATAATGCAGACCCGGGTTTGAATCCAGACTGAACCACTTATTAACTGTGTAATCCAGGACAAGTTACTTAACCTCTGTAAACCTCAGTATCTTCCTCTGAAAAATGGGGATAATATGGGTAACACTTCACAGAGTCATCACGAGGGCTAAAATAGAAAATGCATGTGACATACTTAGTTAGCTACGTAATGTCTTAGTAAACTTGGTGCTCACACTGTCAACTGTTAGTATGGGAAGAGAAGAAAATGCTCACTGGTGGACTCTTCCCTGGGCCTCTGGAGCACTGCTGCCTGGAGACAAGCCCTCCTCGGGGCAGAGCAGTGTGCAGCCAGCAGGGGATTTCAAATCAGCCTTCATTCCTGACACCTTAAGGATATAGGGGAAGATGCAAAAGAACGTCCTTTGGATGTAGAATCTGTGGAATCACCGGTTAATGCTGAACCATATGAGAATAAAGCCTAGTATAAAAGGTATCTTTTAAGAACCTGGAGCTCAGCATTTGATTCCTGAATCTGCACGGCGGCTCTCTTTGCAGAGCTTCTCACAGTCGCCTACATTTACCAAGTACCTGTTTACTGGATGCCGACTACAGAGCAGGCACCAGGTTAGCTGCTTCAGAATCAAAGGTGAAGAAGTGGCCACTGCTCTCAAAGGGCTCTTGGACAGATTTAATATGGCAGGGGAAGGAGGGAGCAGAGGGGGGCACCCTATTTCCCATTCTGCTGGTAGAGAATTTGAGGCCCCCAGAAGTGAAATAATTCAAAAGATCTACCCTTAAGTCATTTACCTTATGTACAGACCTTACAGTGAACCTTTAGAAGGACAACGATGTCGTTCTAAAGTTATCCATGAGGGCGATCCTTTAATATTTACGAAAGGCTTCAAACCCTAAAAAGATGAGGCTTGCTCAAGAGCTCGAAGCAGTCAAGCAGCAGAGTCTGGGCTGGAACCCAGTTCTTCTGACAACAGATCCCTTGTGCCCCTCAGCACGAGGATGCTGTCTGGGAGCAAGAGCAGCCCAGCCGAACTCACCATCCGTATCCGTTCATCTTCAAGATTCCTGAGGACAGTGGCAAACTCTTGCAAAGACCTCGCTGGAAAAGAGAAAAGGGCCATGAGGTGGGAGGCAGCGGGTCTTGGGAAGCCTTTCCAGCTCCAGCTATTATGGTACAGATTTAAATTGCTTAGCACGTGCAGACACCTAAAGTCAATTGCTTCCCAAGGCTCTCCTTATCTTTTAATCATTAACCATTAAGGGTGACCCAGAAATGCAGGTTAATTCCACCTGGCACTCTAGCTAGGGAAGGATTTCTTCAAGGAAAAGACCTGCCTGTTCCTGAGAATACCCAGGACTGGTGAGATGCTGGCAGGCTCCCAGGCCCCGGCCTGGAAGGGGTAGAGTTCCGCTTAGGAATTGAAGGATTTCCTGTCCAGAATTCGACCTCCTCAACCTTTGTCGTGGGGTTGCGTCAGAACCCAGCCTTTTCTTTGGCACCAGAACTAAACAAACAGTGCTGCTGGCATTGGAAGCCACATCGCTGGCTTCTCCTTGGGTTCCTCCTTGCGAGTCCTCAAGTCACTCATTAAAGCGTGCAGCTTGCAGCATGGTGCTCAGACACGGGCAGTCTTCTCTGTCAGAATTACTCACAAACGCAATAAGCATCAAGTGCAACAGCCCTGAGAGTCCTTGGGCCTCTTGTGCGATGCTGGGAAAAGCATCCATATTTCATGAGCTACAACAAGGATGCGTTTTCGCCACTCTTAGCTGTCTCCCAATTGCTTGTGCTCATCCCCAGATCGCGTACTCTGCATGGCAACAGGAACTCGGTAAGACTTTGATGAATTAATTAAGTCAATGAAACTTTCTCAATTCTCACTGAACGTAATCAACCACGTTGCGCAATATAAGACTAGGGAGCAATGACAATGCCCTGGCAAAGAAAGGTGACTTGACATGCAAATCCTCCCCGCTCAGGGCTGCCCACAGACACACACAGGTGAGTGAAGAGTGAAGCAGCACAGCGTGGCGGTAACTGGTCACCCACGTCAGCCTCTTGTTAAGGAAACAAAGAGGAGAGGCGAGGAACAGACTGAACTAGACACTGAGCTCTCTGCCTATCTGAAAGCAGTGGCGGCAACATAGCTTGGCCACCTGTTGCCAGGCCAGAATGTGGGGCCAGTAGATTAGATTATTGAACTTTTCAAAGAAGCTGGAAAACTGGAATTTCGGATAAATTCAATTTATATGGTAATCCAATTAAAAAATGAGAGCTGAACAAAAACAAGGCTGCATTCTGATTCCGACCTACGGGCTATCATTTTGTGACCGCTGATCTAATGCTCCCCTCATCCACCTGCTTCTACTTTTGCACTAAGCTCTTAGTACTGTGGTTGGGGGGAAGAACATCACAAAACCAGCCAGAAGAACACTAAAGGAAGGTGGAGAGGGGAGCCCTGCAAAACTTCAGACTGTCTCCTACTCGCTGGAGGATGAGTGAGGCAATCCCAGAAGTCGTGGCGAAAACCAGAGTAGCCCCAGCCCTAATCCTCACGTATCTGCCTCTCCACTGCCACTACGCACGTCTTTCTTTACCAACCTTAGACACTTGCGATCCCAGGAAAAAGGCTCTGCCAGGACACTGAAAACCAACGAGCAATGAAGATTTTTATTTTCCACACAGTTGTGACTTACCTATACACATCTCATCATCTGTTTCTGCATCTCCTATGCACTGAAATTTAAATTCATTTAAGGAATCTGCAAACTTCCGCTTCGCTGAAGACAAATCTAGCAAGAAAAAAGAAGGAAAAATCATGAATTACTAAAATTAAACTGGCTTTCTAATTTGCTGCCCTTTCTGGTTCTTCTATGAATCTGGCAGCAAGCATATTTGTTCCTCAGTCTGGGTTGAAGTACAAAGGAATGTAAATTCAAAATAGCAAATACTTGTTTGTAACATGAAGCACTGACTTGCTCTAGAAGTTAATATTTTTGTTGTATTTGGTTTAACAATTCAAGTCCTGTCTCTACTTCCTCAAGCCACAGTGAGTCCTGTCATCTCCATGTGACACACGTGGGAATCCACTTGCCTAAGGAGGTCAGGGAGAATGCCTCGGTCAGAGCCAACATCAATACCCACAGCCTCCGTGTGGTCAGCGCAGCTGCCCCCGCATCCAACTCACAACACAAACTTTCATTAGGGAGGCAGCCCGCGGAAGCCGGAGGAAGGGCTGGGAATCACCCCCATTCCATGGTACAGGAGCACCTAGCGGAGGCCCGAGTTCTCTGAACCCCTCTCTGCCCTCCTCCCGAGCAGAGTGGCCAGCCTGACATCATCCTACCTGGACCATTTTCCTGGGTGGCTACATCCACCACCACCAGGAGAACAAACACCTGGCAATGTGTTTTACTGGGGTAAAAACACATTCCACGCATAGTATCTATAACAAAAGCTTTCGGAGGACCCTGTCAAATGAAAAAAAAAAAAAAAGCTTTCATTTAAGATAGTAATAAAAGCCAATGATCCTTCCTGAGCCTTCAGCTTCTGTTAAGGGTATAAAACCACCAAGGTAGCTTTAAGTGGACTGACAGATCTGGGTGCTCGGTGCAAATGTGCTTAACTTAATTCCATGTGCAGCCTTCCTGCAGATCAGGCTAATCATTCAAATTACCCTCATCCGTGTTTCGCTCATTGAGGGGGAAATGGCATCATGTTCGAACTCCCAGAGGAGGGAAATGTGAGGCACAACCGGCAGCACGGCCTGGCTTTAATAAGACATGGGGAGGGAAGGGGCATATTCTGGCCTCACGGAGCAACATAACCTACTAAAAGAAAAGCATCCATGATCCCCAGTACTTCTCTTTCTCAGCTTCCAGATTTGTCCTTGGAGGTTAGGGGTCATGTTTTTCATCTTCTGATTTGGTTTGGTTTGTTTCCTCTCCACGGCCTGGCGGTGCATCCTGCTCAGTGTGTGCTGAATAAATGTGTGTGGGGGGTACTGTATACAAATCCAACCGCCCGTGCTAACTGCAAGCAGTGGCTGCTAGCGGATGAGCCAGGCTTACGCCATGCTGCTGTGCTCAGGTCTGGGGCTACTGCATGGACACCGGCAGCTCCTGCCCCTGGACCGCCCTCCCACTGGCTCGGATGACATGGTCCCAAGCTAGCTGTGGCTTGTGCAAAGCACTCTGCTCCAAACCAAAAGAGGAACGCACTTGGAGTGGAAAAGGAGAACACAGGAGCCAACAGCCAACAGTCTCTGGTCTCTCCCTGGTTCATGCAATGGTCCTTGCCAAAAAGTCAAAAGATGCTAGCAGAGGACTCAGGCATCTATCAAAACTGGCCAACCCAGGCTGAGGCTACCGCTCAGACTACAAATCGCTCCCTGGCAAGGAAAGAAAGAAACAGATGCATCTGAAAGTCAGAACACTGTGGGGAGGAAGGAAAAGAGGCGGCCACAGGCAGGCAGGAGAAAAAAGGAAGAGAGTAATATTTGAGACTGGAAGACAAAGCCCTGTAAGAGCCCCAACGTGTGTGCATTGAATGTGGGTGTGGTCGTACATATCCTTAGTTAGAACGTTCCCGGAATCAGAACTCACAAAGAAAGGCCCGAGCAAAGAGTAGCAGCAGGTTTGCTTCTCCACCCACCTGACAACCTTCCTGTGCCTCCCCGGAAGGCAAGAAAGACTCAAGCTGGACACTCACCTCAACAAAGTGGAAAAAGGTGAAATGTAAGCCAGGCTCAGGAAAGCTCCCAGCATGCACCTGAGAAGCCACACTGCCGGGGGTGGCCGCCAGCGAGGATCAGGGAGCGGCTTGTACGTCACAACGGGGCCTTTGTGGAGCCTCTGCACGGGTGGAGCCACTTAACCAGGACAGGGCCTGTCAGCTTACGGCCAGATGGGGACCTGACTTCACTGTCCGGTGGCACCGAGCACACCCTGCCACAGCGCAAACCTGACAAGCAACGCGGGCCCGGGAAGCTGGGGGAGAAGCCAGTCCCCTACGGGAGAGGAGGCAATAACGACTGCTGGTGTGGGCTGACACCGGGCTCAGGCCAGTGAGGACAGCCGGGTAGAGCGAGAACCCCCACGGCTGCACGTGGAAGGTAACTCGCCTGGGGCTTAACGAGGAACCTTTCAGTAAAGCTACAGCGGATACCTGTTGTCTCGCTTGATGAGAATCCTTTCCCCAGTCTCTGGGGCAGCATGTCCAACCTGTTTTGGAGAACCTCCTTTCTCTGCTTGCATTCTATGGGGTGCTTATGACAGGCTGATCAACCCAAACCCCTGGGCCCCACGCAAACCCCACTGGCTCCTGGGTTCAAATTCCAGCTCCACCCTTTATGGGCTACATAACTAACCCTGGGTTAGTCGTGAAGTCTCAGTCATCTCACCCGACAGAAGTCATCAGTCCGTGGGTTAGGTAGGGAGAACCCCGTGAGGCACGCTGCATAAACACGCTGCACATCGTAAGGTTCAGTTCCAGGCAAACTGGGCTATTCTTTCCTAATATGTGAATCCTCCAGTAACAGAACCCAGAGAAGATAAGCCTGAATGCCTGTGTTTGGAGCCCAGAGAAGCTAAAGGACTAACATAAAAGCACACAGCCACTGAGGAGGGGACGTGTGACGTGACTTAGTCCTGTGAACTGAGATCCCTGTAGCATGTGGGAACACCACGCTGCCTCACCCTATTAAGATAAACCCCTCTGTGTTACTTAGGAGAATCGAGAGGACATAAAAAGGGAACTTTCTACTCGAAAGCCATTGTTTCTTGCCTATTTCAGCCCAACAGGGCTGGGTGGTGTCTTCCGTAGATCATCACCTTGGATATGCAGCTCCCCAGAGATTCATTTCAGGAGCTTTGCCTCTGATGCACACAGGAATCTCACACGTCCATTCCAGTGAGAGGAGAGGCAAAAAAGGACAGGCTGGTACGGGTGCTGGGCGCACGCCAAGCTTCGCGGCACCCTGCTCACATGGCCCCGCTGTTTCGTGCACAGGCAGTGCAAGACACAGCAAGGAGCCGAGCAGAGTCAAGAATATTTACTTTGCAGAAACATCTGTTGCTGGAAAAGCAGAATGCTGGCCAGCGTGGAGCGAAGTCATCACGTCAGCACCGGAGAGGCCAAGTATCTGCTTTCCAGAGCAGCTAGGCCAGGCGGGTAAGGGCTATGGAAGCAGCTAGAAGTCTGGGCCGTGAGAGATACCCCCAAAGCCATCTGCCCACTCAGGGGCCAGAGGAAAGTGCCCGTTCTTCCTGGAGATGCCACGCTCTGCCTCAGCAGATACTGATCTGCACAGGGTTTAAGAGAATTTAACCCAACGATGATCCTTCTTTCACTAAGACAGAAGGTTTACCGTAACTTTTTTAAAATTAGAATCTACCTTAATTTTAAACAAGTTTGGCCAGTAATACCACAAGTCATTTCCTTTTCCTCCTTGGGTAAAACTTAACATACACGTACTTACACAAACATGCACACATGTGTACACCCACATAATGAAGGACTCAACGTAACCTTATAACTATATTTATTTTCAGTGCATCTATTGCCTTTGTGACCTCCGAAGTTACCAAAATTGTATATTAACTACCCTTAAAAATTGTTGCTACTTAGTCACATCTTTCTCTCTAGACCTAGAGAGTGATCACAGTTAATAAAGACTACTGCTGAGGTAAGAACTTGCAACAGGCTGCTCATAGCAAAAGAAAACCGAAGTCCCAGGCCTTGTCAATCCCTCCCTTCTCTGAACACCAGTTACACTGACTCTGCCTCACTACCTTGCATGTGGAACCATTCTAGAACGATTCAGAACGGCTTCATGTCATAATGCACAAAGAGTGCCTAGCACAGGGCTGGACACGGGGCCCCTCAAAACCTGCCATGCGGATCTGAGGGGGGCACAGCAAGATAAGCTAGCTCATGGGTGGTGTGTCCTAGAGTCCCCAGAGAGGACCCATGACTGAGAGCCCAGAATGGACGCCAGCCCCCCAGAGACTACAGGTTCAGTCCACACCCCTATCCCCAGGTAAAACTCAACACACTCAAAACCAAACTCTCTCCGCCCTCCTACCCGCTCCTGAGAGGGCCAGCAAAGGGCCTCCTCCTGCATCCCCCGCACGGTGAAGGACACTGCCATTCACCCGCCACTCAAGTCAACACCGTGTGTCGTCCTTCACATGCAGCAGGCTCCTTCATGAGCACAGTCCATCCCCAAGTCTGTCCACTTTGCCTCCTAAGCATCCCTCAATTCTGCCCACTCCTCCCCATCACCATCAGCAACTCCTAAAACCAAACACCCACATTTGCCTGGAGAACTACAACTGCCTCCTCTCTGGTCTCCCCACACCCACTTCTGTCCCTCCAGTCAGTTCTCCACCCAGTCGTGGCAACACCAGCAGTGAGCTCTGTGAAGGCTTTCCGGAGCTCTGGGGACAAAGACCAAAGTCCCTCCCAAGGCCTCAGAGGCCCTACAGAGTCTGACCCCACTCTGTCTCCGGGCTCCAGCTGCTCTGGCCTCTGCACGTTCCTGGAGCATGCCCTACTCCAACCTGCCACCATGTGACTACTCTTGCCTGCAGCCCTCAGCCCAAAAGTTCCTTCCTCCAGGAAGCCTTCTTTGACTTCTCTAACCAGGCCAAACCCAACCCTATTTTCCACTCCCTGAGTACTATGCACCTTTTCTTCAGAGCAACTTGTGCAAGTCTGGTTGGAGCCTGGTACAGGTAGGAATGTGCTTACTATTAACATGTAACCACCTCCCCTAATGTTGTCCCTTGAGGAAGATTCCAACAGAGCTGGAGGGAGAGCCACCACCAACCAGCAGGAGCATGAAGAAAAACCTCTATACCAAGGGACCCAGAGAAATGAGCTACAGACAAGCCAGCTGGCGGCCACAGCCATGTGTCCTCTTTTAGCCCCAGCATAACCCCAAACCTGGACGGAGTTAAAACAGTTTTAAGAAGAGTCCCTAGAGATCTTTCTTTTCTCTCTCTCCACATTGGGCAAACTGAGAACAGAACATATCCTTTCAGAAACTGTGCTTGGACAAAGGCATTTCCCCCCAAGTCTGTATGTGGCCTAGTTCAATGTGCTTAACTTATTATAAGGAAGTGATGTCCCCTTAAGTGCCATGCTACAGCCTGAACCCCTGCATTACAGCAGCAAAAAGAAACAGACCCTGTTCAAATCTTAACAACCAAACAAAATTCCCCACAGCATGTCTCATTTCTGTGACTCGTGGTCTTACCTGTGGCCACTAGGTGGCAATCAACTATATCACAGGAGGTGTGCTAAGACTGAAGGAGAAATGACAAGGCCAGCCTTCAAGGCAGTGCTGAGGACAGAGCCTGTCCCATGAAGGATGCACCCACCTGAGAAGGGAAACGCCCTATGGGTGCTGAGCCAGCAACTGGGGAAGCGGCCCTGG